TAAAGATGATATTGGAAAGAAGGTGGATAATCATGTATTTAAATATATCATATCTGAATATATCATACCTGCCAAGAAAAATGTCTGCCCTACCGTTAAAGCTGAGAAAGAAAAAACTACGAAGTGGGATGAATACCAGGAAGCAATAAGAGATCTAAAATGCAATTATCTTGCCAAATTTGGTAATCTAACATTTAGATATGTAAATGTTTAGAAATCGATATAAGCAATCGATATAACGAATATTTAGATTATTTTAGTTATTATTTTAGATTATTTTTTTAGTACTATTATACATATATGTATATTTTTTTCATTTTTCCGGTTCTTAATCTACCAATATATAGCACCATCTATAAGTAAGTTGGATTTAAAATATGAACATTTATACATTATAATTTATGTTTTTTGTTTGTATTACATAAAACACATGCATATCCTTGAGCATGTATTTACGATTGTTGCATTTGTGTAACTTTTTACAGATACTTATATGTCAAATAATATAATACTCATGATTGTAATTATTATCCTTTTACAATCCTTTTACATTTGATAAACAAACTATTTACATTTACAGTATACGTAATTTGTTTGAAAACTTGTTTATTGTTATATTTATTATTACATAATGTAAATAACTCTAACGATATTTACATATATGCAAATGTAGCTCTATATATATATATATATATATATTTATATATATATTTATCTTTACATATTATGTGATAATTGAAAATTTATTTTCAAGAATTGATTTTAATGACTTATATTCTTATTAATAACAGAACCCGGCGAGCATAGCAATTCGCTGTACGGAGAACTAAAGGGAGCCTTCTCGGATCATTTACCTGTCCACACTGCCATGTTGACATCTTTAGATTCTCCTGAGGCACGGCGATATGTACCGCAAGATGATCTTTCAGAAAATGCCATTGCATTTGCTAATCAAATAATAACAGTCGCTGACTCTGTGATCACAAATATTGATCAAGATAAGTTACTAGCATATTATGGATTGAAAAATGATCAACGTCCTGATGCGGCAAAAATCAAAGTAATTATGGATAAACAAAAGAATAGTTTGATTGAAGGATTAGTGAAGAAAGGTTGTGCATTGGCGCGATTATATGTACATGGTACAAAAACTGGAGAGGGAGATGGATCTTGTGAACATTTGCTTGAAAGCGTTACACATCACTGGCAAGAAGTACAGAAATTCGCTGAACCTACTGATAATAAGGTAGACATATTGCATTTAAAGCCTTTTAAAACAAAAATAACATATAACATATAACAAGAAATTTTATTAAATGTGTTTATAAAATAATAAGATTTCTATTTTTTCTTTAGGTTATTATTTTGTCTTTATGGCACGCGCACATCAATGATCACTATGGACGTTATTTGAAATTATTGACTCGTTATTATGAAGAGAAACCATTGAAAGAGATTGATGAAAAGTGCATTGAAATTGCAAAATGTTTAGGATGGTCACATTGGTCACGTCTTCTCACTACAAGTATGCCAATGCGTTACCCAAATACATATAGATCATTCTGATCATTGGTAAGTATTATTTATTTTAATCTCACATTTCAAGAGTTACATTACATGATATAATAATAATAATAATAAATAAAATAAATTGGCTAGTTATTAAAATATATATTTACATAATTATTTGATTAAAATTTAAGACTCGGTTTTTTTGCCACAGGCATATTAGTTTATGACATTATTCGTAGATGAAATGATGTGAAGTAATTTTCTTGCAATGCATAAGCTTCATTTTTTAGTTTTCTTTAAAAAGATAATTTTATGATCCTAAAACTTGCGGGAACTAAAATATCTGTCCGGTCTGTCATATACAAGTGTAAAATAATTCCTGAATCATATATCTATGATAGCTGAGCATGGCTGAAGAAATGACGTTATTTCAGGGACAGATCAAACAGATATCTTACCGCATTTTTATAAGTTTCAAGATCACGAAATTATGTTTTTTAAGAGAAAACTAAAAAAATAGAGCTATATATCGTAAGGAAATTATTGCATGTCATTTCTTGCCTATGACATCATAAACTAATATGGCTACGGCGAAAAAAGTCTTAAAGAAAATGTAATTGTACATTTAATTACGATATAATACAATAAATATATGTTGTTTTCAGATTTTATGAAGCCAATGTGCTAAAGTATGATATAGGCAAGAAGAATTATGAAAACGATTTCGAACACATCTTTGTAATAACAGTGAAAAACAAAAAGTCGTTTATGTCAAAAGTCAGGTGTAATATATGTTTAGAAAAATATAAATTTATTCATAATAAACTAATGATTTAGACTAATCGCAGTGCTGAACTGACTTAAATCATATTCGTATGTATATGATTTTCTTTGACGGAAACTGGAAAAAAAGTTTTATTGAAGATAAGAAAATAATTCTACTGAAATTTTACTAAAAAAAAAATATAAGCAATAAAAATATAAAGTCTCATTCGTAAAAAAAATAGTATTGTTAATATACAGTTATATGTTAACATAGCCATTAATAGCAGAAAAATTTTTTCTTTTGAATGAGTACTTAATGAAAAACTTTATTTTTTAATATTGGATTTTACAAAGAATGCTTCAATCAAATCAGTTTAGAATTTGAATTTTTGATTAACATTGTGTAACACAATGTTTGTTTCTGTTACAACATATTGTATCTCATTTAACTTTCTATATTCTTATTTTTACAGTAAATTATTATGTAAATATATAAATATATCTTTTGTTTTTATATCCACAGAATATACTTTAGTCTACTGTTTTATGTTATGTCAGGCATATACGACAATTAATTTTGAATAGATTATTAATTTTATAACTGTAAAGCGATGTATTCACATGTCTAACACAGATCTTTTATATCTAAAATATCTAATAAAAAATATATTATTAAGAAATGTATACACATTTGCAGACTCATATATATCAGAAATTGAATTTCATACATTTGCTGTGTTTTATATATATTAACATATATTCATAATAACAATGTTTTTTATAAAAAAATACAATAATAAAATCTATATTATTTTAAATTTTATTGTTTAAGAACCAAAATTTAGAACACTCAATGAATATATATTACTGCAATTAATTAAGAGCGTCACATAAAAAAAAGTTATTTAATAAAATGTGTTTTATTATGAATATAAAGTATAACAGATGTCAAATAATTTTTTCTGTCTCGCTCATATAATAATATTTCCTCTTGAGTAGAAATATTTTCTTAATTAAAACAGATCAAAATATGATAAAAAAGCTGCATTGATTTTTCTCATCATTATCTAAATAAGAAAATCAAACAAGTTTAAATCTTAAAATTAAAAGAGAATAAAAGTTAAACCAAGAAAAGTTAATCTTAAACATTAGTAGAAATGGACATATAAATCAATCAATTCAACTACTTGATGACATAGTATAGGAAAAAAATTCTTTGATTCACACTTTTTTCTTTCTTTTGTTCTTGTTTCTTTGGATGCAATTGTCATATGTATAGAATAACAAACATTGATAACAAATTCGGTCAACTACACTGCATCGGATTAATGCACATATAAAATATCTCCACAGTAGCGTAATATAATTTCTTTGATGATGAAATTATTAAATACATATACATATTGTGCTATAAATAATACGACAAACTCATTATTGATTATATAATTGTTTGGTGTTTATGTATTTTTACATAAACATTCCAATTCCATATCAGCGTTTAATGTAATATTACACTAATTTGATGTAATACGAGCGACCGAATTTGTTACGAGAAACTTTACACTTCATTCGGCCGTTCTTCCCAATAAACTTATTTGCGAAGCCTTAGACTGTACCTCTATATTCTTATATCATCTACGCTTGACGAGCGTTTGTATTTGCTGAATGCAGCTACTTTTCATCTTTACAATTGTTTATTCACAATATTCCACAATCATAAACTGTCACACAAAATTTTGGTATTCAAAATGTCTTGACATACATATATCACACCTTTTTGGAAAGGACGAAAATATGAATCACAAAAAAGATGTATTTGGTAATCAAATTAATAAGTAATGGGAAACACATGGAATAAGAGATACTTTTGTAATTATGACTTTACCACCATTATTTAGCTGTCACTTCCCGTCATATATCAAAGACGCTTTTAATAATGAAGTAGATATATTCTGGTATCATCCCGAATTTACGCAAAGCCGTTATCCACCAGGACAAAAAAGTATAAATAATTATAAATAATTATATTTGTTACTTATATCAATATAAGTATTATAAATTTTATTATTTATATCAATATCCAAAGTATTTGTACAAATAATGGTATTAATGGTATTAATTCTTTTTTCTGATACATTGAATAATTTCTTAGTAAGTGAAGCCTGTACTCTTATATGCTTGCTTGTGGCTGTACGAATATCAAGAGAAAATCTGTTGATTTATGATGTAGAAAACTGCTCGAGACTGAATATTATTTTGGCAGAGGCAATGATAGAGGGTAATGAGATTCATGCATGGCTTATTAAGAAAAGGCTTATATCGCATCCATATTTGAATACTGAAGATGCTTTAAAACATGGGGGCAAAAGTTTAAACATATTAAAAGAATGGGTATGGTACAGGAATATTTAGAATAATTCTTATTTTAACATTTAATTATTTTTATATTTGAAGTTAAAAAGATTGCTATTAATTCCTTGTCCAATTACATTTTTATCTGAATAAGCAAAATCTATTTTCTTTGTGTACGTATGTGTGTGTGTGTGTGTGTGTGTGTGTGTGTGTGTGTGTGTGTGTTTTGTATTTAGATAATATATATAATATTTTTGTCACAGAAGTTCAATATTTTTCATGAAGAAATAGATACAAGCTTGTATAAAAATATAAATACATTTTTGTATGAATGGTACAAATCTCCAAAATCTCATACTTTGTTTATGCTGCTTATCACATGCGGACGTACTATATTATTCATTTTTCAAGAAAATATTAATAAGGTAAGTAATTAAACTAGAATTAAAATTAATTGTAAAGAATGATATTACTTATACTTTAGATGAATGATCTATACTTTAGAAAATGATTACACATAGCAGGTCTTTTTGTTTTCTAAATTTTAAATTTTGAAATATCATAAATATGTATATATGTATAATTAATAATTATTGTATATATAAATAAGGTTACGTTTTATTCATAGGTCATTTTGTTCGATTCGCACAGTCATACTATTGATAATAATTTAAGTCGTGGATTAGTCATTGCTCAGGTAAGCAAATTTGAAAAGAAAATTTATCTTTCTTAACTGTATCGGATATTAAACAAAATGTAAATACAAATATTAAGTCTCTTCTAATAATAGAAAAAATATATACAGACGACTATTGATAGATTGGAATCATTATGCAACTGGTATGTTAAAGATGTATTAAAGAATTGTTACAATATACAAGCTAATAAATACGAATTAGCTTTCTTATATTCCTGTGATGCACAATGCAGAAGCCACAATGGAATTTCATGCGAATGTAAAAAATCTTGTAAAATGTAATCATGCATTTTTCTAATCGAACTGATATATTTTATTATTTATATTTCTTACCAATGATAAATTTATAAAATAAAATAATTTTTTAACTTATACATAAGTAATACATACACAAAATATAATTATGTATTTTTAGAAGAACTTTTTATTTAAACACATATAGAGATAATATACACGAAATATTGTGTATATTTGTTCAGCAGTTTGTTTAAACAAACAAACTGAACAGATTAAGATTGACGTATTTACATTATGTACAATTTACTTTCTGTTTCTTCTAAGGCTGGTAAAACAATTTATTGTCTACACAATGCTGAAACTATTAAGGAAATAATTTATATTTGAAGATGATAAAATTCAAAGGAATAACAGTATATTCCTTTTTGAATTAGTTTAGCATTGCGCAAACATATCCCTGGCGATATGTAACTACATATTATAAGTTTGTATTACTGCATATCTATTGAGATTTTCTTTGTTCATCTATTTCATACACACATTATGCTTATAAAATATAATCAAAAACGCATGGACGAGACAATTTTATTCGAAAGTTTTCGCTTCATAGCTTTATAATATTTTATGTATATAGCTACAATATTTTGATTTCCTAACAATCTTTTCAATTTGTGATAATACATAATTTTTTACATTATGTCTTTATAATCTCCACATATTTTATGTGGATAAAAATTTAAATATATTGCTGCTAAATTTGTATAGAATGTAGTTACAAGGGATATTGTCTAACATACAAAAAGAAAATATCTATGACAAACCTGTGTTAAGAGAATTAAATCTGTAAAGAATATAATCACAAATGACTTTCTTATGTAATAATTTAATAAATAAACAATTTAATAAGTAAGTCATGCAATTGAGAACTTATCACATTCAATTTTATAAAAGAATTTGTATTTCGTCTTTCTAGAAAAATATATGTTTCATAAATATATGTATATGTATAAGTAATCTCCTAATTTATAAATAAATTTCTTTTCTCTTATTATTCTCGATAACTCGATTGAATATAAAAAATAAATAGAACCATGCCGAAATAGTATAATGTCTAAAATACAGATTTCTTTCTCTTTATGTTTTATATACATTCTAAGTGTCGTGTATTAGAGTATCGTAGAATTTATTTAATAACAATTTTCAACAACGCAATTTCTAAAAATTACTATCTACAGGAACGTATAGATTAATTTCTCCACAATTTTGCTTCCAATATATTATTTAAAAAAAACGTTGAAAAGTACTCTTCTTTCTTTAAATTGCTTGCAAATACTACCAGGTGGTAGTATACTTGAGCAACTTTCTATTATATTCCCACATATAAATAAATGTCTCACCCCTCGTATTTGTGACTTTGTACAATATGATCAATTTCAAGGCAATGCTCATTTTCTTTTCCAAGATAAATCAATACTTGCTAAATTATTTTACAAGTGATAATCTCGTATACCCTATGTGGTTAGTAGATTTTACACAAACTGAACTTAATAAATAAGTAAATAATTCCGTTATTTTTTTAAGAAAACACTCAAAAAACATTTCTTTCTTTGCACATTTTAGCAAATGAAATATCTATTAAAGCAATATATTGTAAATTGTTTAGAATGTTATATAATATATACTATAATTATTATGTGTATATTAAGAATGTATTGTACCTACTTTTATTAACAATGACAAAATTATAAAAAAATTATGGATTATTCTACATCACATTTAAAATAAAAAATCGCTGCAGTTTAGAATCTAGATCAAAAATTGTTTATATATAAAATAGAAATGTAAGATATAACAAAAATCTTAATTTTTTTTATAATTAAATACTTATTAAATACTTTAGGATGATTTGTGTAAACTTTTATTGTAATGTAGAGATTAGTTATCCTATAAATAAAAATAAAAATTTTATTTACATTTATAAAAATTAAATTTTTATTTATAGAATTAATCTTTATTGCAGTGAAGCTTTATATAAATAATCTTGAATACTTAAAGTATTTATTCAAAAAATTTGGATTGTTGTCATTATTTTTTAATTACATTTCCATTAGAATATACTTGTACTTATTTAAATAATTTTTCTAAATTGCTACTAAACTTTTTTTAATATAATTTTTAAATGCGATTTAGAATAATCTGTATTCATCATTGTAAATTTCAGTAAATTCATAATTTTTTCATTGTAAATATAAAAATAAATGTAGTACATTCTTGTCTAATTATCATAATCATTTTTAGAAAGCAAAATGTTGTCATTAGAAAAAAAACAAAATCATTTCAAAGTAATTTGGAAATGTATTTTTCATAAATAGATAAATAAAATTATCACGTGCGAAAATGTTGCAAATAAAGAAAAATGTTAGAGAGATTGGCGAACTTGAGGTTGTGCCCATTCTACAAAATCATCAATTAATACAGGCCAAGCACCTTCTTCATCATAATTACTCATGTCTGAATTAATCATAAGTGCAAAGTCTAATAATAAGTTCCACGTATCTTTTGGAATTGATCTTTTGTGATGTTCCTAGAAAACATCAGTATATTGATATTATTTAAAAATAATTCGCAAAAAATATATTTCAGATCAGTATGAACTCAACTTAAATTTGCTTACCTGTAAAAAATCACACCATAATTGAAGAAATTTAAATTTATCATCTAACACAATATTCCAATACGCAATTGCCATATCCAAATCTAAGCCTTTTTGTCCTGCATTCTTTGCATAATTAAATGTGAAATGATAAAAATCCTTGAATTTTAATGGATCCCTTAAATCATTTTCTAAACTATGTAATCGTGCTTTTAACTTGTCTATACTATCCACTCTGAAAATAACAATTATGAAAAATTATATTTACATGTCTTGAAACATTAATTTAATTTAATAATAGTCATTTAATAACAGTCATAATCACAATATCATGGCAAAGAATTTAATGTTTACCCCAAATCCATCATTCCCGTCATAAACTCCTCTTTAGTGAATTCACATTGCGTTTCGGCACGAAATTTCCACGCGATAATTAAGACTAGTTTACTCTCAGGACTCAGACTAAGATCGTCAAGAAATTTCATGATGCCATCCGCCGTAATTTTGTTAGGTTCACTTGGATCTATGAGATAATGATTATAATTTACTTTTTACGATATCTAATGCAAATAAAATATATCAATGTCATAATATAGCATCACAAGTCTTACCTTGGTATTTGCTATACAATATTTCCAGTTTCTTTTTGTCGACGGAATTTTTCGGTTCTTTGTAATATGCTTCTGGATTTTGGAAATAATTGTCACTTGCGAGATCCAATTTCCAATCATTTTGTGCTAAACAATATATCGCTGTTTGTTCTCCGGTTTGTGTAAACGTTATAAACTTTTTTACTTTGTCCCTTTGTGAAAATTTCAATTTATGCTGTAATGTAAATAAAACAATATATAATAGTACTTTGCAAATTGTTTATTTAGTTATAGAAGCAATAGGTAAAAGTAAAAGTGATGACATCAGTGCAATTTGGAACTTCGTTGTCATAATCGAGTAAACTAACAGCGTGTGCTGCAATATTAATTTAACAGATGATTTTGATTTTGCGAAAGGTATTATATATCGAAAGTACAGCTTGCATCCTTCGAAGTGTCTTCGATATGTCGACAGAATTTTATCTCGAATAATGTTTTAATCATATTTTTGGAGCTGAGAGGGAGCCGGGAAGCATCGAGGAGAGATTTCGCGTATCGCATCATCATCATCATCATTCGAAGGAGGCTGATGTTTAACGTAAAAAAATATCATTAACGTTACAGCACAGGCATAGGTTATTCAGGTAATTCAAAAACGAAAGTACGAAATCCTCGACGAGAGGATGACTGATCGGATCGACCGAAAACGCAACACGAGTGTGCTGTTGTTAATAATCGCGAAATTTTTTCGCGAAACGCTTACCATTTTCCGGCTAATTTTAGGCCCCCGAAAGCCAAAATATTATTCCCCTCGCACTACGATTGACATGAACATGCGCATGTTCCGCGAAGACCAGCGAAGACCTCGGGAGACGCGTATACATCACGCGAATGCGCAACGTGCCGTACGCAACATTGCCACCAAACGTCATCGGGATAAACCAGGATACGACTGACAGGAGCGGGCCATTCGAACACGCGAATTTAGTTACGTTTGGTGCGATCGGGAAAAATTGTCATGACTCCGCTAGATTCCGCCTCGGGGGAGAGCGGACAAGTGAATTCTCGGGTAAACATGCAGTTGTAACTTTATAAATTTGTATATTTTCATGTATGAAAAGGAAAATTGTCGTTTCCGATTTTTTTTTATTTTCGAAGATTTTTAACATTGATGAATTAGAAATAATTTAATAATAATTTAATGATAATTTATGACTGCATATTTACCACCATTCTCTACTTTAATTAGAAAAACAAATTATTTCTTTATACAATTTATATTATAGCATAGAATTATATAGAATTTGTAATTCAAAAATTTACATCTTTTTTATTCCTTTTATGTGGATTAAATTCAAATATCAAAGAACTTTGTAATTAAAAAAAAAAAAAAAAAGAAAGAAGAGATTTGAGCGACGATTTTCCTTCTCAGAATATTCTAGGCAAATATTGAAAATAAACAAATTTATAATATTGCAGGAAATTCGGAGTAGAGAATGTTATACCGTATATTTATCCACTTTCGGAATCGGACCCGCTCGCAATTCGCTACATGGCTTTCGCAAGTGAGCTCGATGTATGTACGTGAAGTT